GGGTGTGGGAGGGGAACTTCTCATGCGCCGAATCTAATTGTCGTAGATACGGCAAAATATCGGAAACTGATTTAGACGTCGAACTTAATTGCACCGTACCAAATTGCGAAGACGTTATATTGGAAATATTTACAATGCAAATATATGATAATCATATTATGATGTTAAAAAATAATTATGCATTAGGTTCGGCGCATGAAAAGCACGGCGTCTAAATCAATGTCGAACCTGTGTCGCATATACGACTTGTCCTGTCGCATCTTCGAGTCGTGTCGAACTTAATCAAAACCTGCCGAACTTAATTGATTTAGACGCCGCTCCAACGTCTCACTTAATCCTTGCATTAGATTCGGCGCATGAAAAGTTCGCCGTCTAAACCGGGCCTAACTTAATTTAATATTAGCATTGATTACCGCTCCGGATGAAACATGTGTGATATTTTTGTCCGGGAAATTGTTTCAAAACATTTTATTCAACTGCGAGTTCGAAACAAAGATCGTCCTATATCACCAGAAAACTAACAATGTCCAATGAGGTTAGTTCTTGTTTTTCTAAAACATTTGTAATCCACCGTTCTTTACGAGCGAAATGACATATTACCGTACCTTGCAACGTACGCCAACGTAACGTATAAACAAACACGTTTTAGATCGCGCTTTAACCTTAATTGACGGATTTTCCCGCGCCAGTTTAATAGCACATTGATCGTCTTTGTCCTTCTGAAATAACTTCAATCAGCGCTTGAAAAAGCTTGATATGACGTTTAAATATACAAACGTAAACGTGATATCGATAATACCAAAAAATATCGATATTCCGATATGAAAATTCCAATATCGAGTAATCGGTATTTATACTGAAAAAACGATAATTATCGGTATATCGATATGCCGCAACAGCCTAAATTTGGAGGTCACCGATGTCTTTTACAAGTTAAATTACTGTAATTAAATTCAACCACCCACAAGTTCAGCGAATCTACCAGCATTTTTGTCAATGTGGCCATAGTTAATAGAGATGTGGCATAGCTAAAAAGATTCGTGCAAAATTTTGGCAGTTCATGGTATAGTTCGGTTTTAAATTTTTTGCGATTTACTGACGCACGACCCACGACGCACGACCCACGACGAACGACCCACCCACCCACGCCAAATAGACAATCTCTGTAGCGACTTATGGCCTTTGATAAACATTGTAACGACTTATGGCCTGTGAAAGTCAAGCGAGATCGCATGTTATCAAATTACACAATTTTCTCGACGACTTTGTATGTTCATATCTTCGGTTCAGTGCTAGGTTAGTTCAGTGCATGCTATGAAGACATATAATACCACCATTCGATTCAGTGAAACAATATTAACTAATTGCTCACAATAATTTTAGCCATTATTAATATCAACATTGTAGCGATTTATGGCCTTTGAAAGTCAACTAGTCAAGCGAGATCGTATATCAAATTATTAATTACGCAATTGTCTGAACAAAAATATATAAACTCCGGCCCCTTTAGACGTATCTTCATTGCAATATTCTTGTTCGAATCATCAATAACTACGGTGTGGAGTAAGTTCTTTGTATGTTTGCATGGCGATAAAACATATATAATAGTTTTGTTTGTGGAAACACCACGTAAATTTATTACTGCGGTGTTTATATTTTCGAGATTGTATCCTTTAGTTTTATCACGGTATATAAAAATTTCCAATTTCTGGCCCGACTGTGAGCGTGAGCTAAAAGTTGAATTCGCTTAAAATTTCATATAAGTGCAAATAACCTTAACAAATACACATTAAATCATACACGAAACTGAATGCTGTCCTTTTATAAATTTAGTTATTTCATATTTAGGCCACTCCAAATTAGACATTAGTTTACCGTCCTCCGCCCGAGTCTCCTAGAGCTGGCCGCATGATTTGTCTATTATTGCGAAGTTGTTTCCATTATTTGACTTTTGTGACAAACAATTACGAAAAAGCACAGTTTTCAAATAATCTATCGTTCAAGAAATACATATTTATGATACAACACGTAAAAATCGAAATAAAATTCTTGAAACTTTTATCAAAGAGCGTGAATTTTTTTCCGTTTTCACTACGAACTGCTGAGCTACACACTTTCGTTACAACTTTTGACTTTTGAACGTCAAAACCGATAACTAAAGGCTAATACCCTGGCTTTCATTTCTGCATACAAAAACTCTAAAACATTGCGTAGAAACATGGCTGAATGGGTATTTAAAACGCGTATCTATTTCATGGAATAATGGGCCGTGTTTAATCCATCAGACACCATAATGGATAATGGAAATGGGCCGCCCGCCGGCGTGTAATTTGAAATAAGGGCCGGACGGGAAACTAAAGTCTAATTTGGAGTGGCCTAAGTACGATGTAAAGCGAATTCAACTTTTACGTGCGTGTACCAGTGGCGTGTACGCACCTATTATTTCTATGGTACGCACGTATGAAAAACGTGTAACTGGAATGCAGCCTTTATAGTTTGTATTTAAAGTCTTTAAACGTCTACATGTATAAAAACGCTTTTAATACCACTCGGTGCCAGTGCAGGACTTCAAAACCTTCGGTGAACTAAAAATTGTATACAGAAATTTAAAAGGCCTGCGTTTTTAAATGTTCAAATAGTGTTGTAAGGCTTTTGGAACCGATTTGCTGTAAGCAAATCTGAGCTTTTACGAGTTAAACCCTCCTGAATACAGCGCGAGCTGCGGTATATACGTGCAATCGTGTATTGCGCAACAGGCAGAACAATTTTTGGCACAAGTTTAAGAAAATAAATCGATCTCGGAAACCATGCAATCCATATAGATTATAGATCGAGCTAAAAGTTAGCGTTTTGAGTTGATCATGTAGCTTAGCTATAAGGCCATATAAAAAAAAATAGTTGGTTAGCGTCCTTGGCTTTTGCCAAAAAGTGGGCGGGCGGGCGCTTTTTTTTAAATTTTTACTAATTTTTAACGCCTTGATTTTACTCACTGTTAGGTCCGAAACTGGATTTTCTTGCGCAGTACAGATATTTTTTATATATTTCAAAATATAATTCATACCGTCATTTTCGCACGCAATTTCGCAAATTATTAACACAATTGACTACAGTCAACAGAAATACTACATATATTAGAGCCCGTTGATCAATAAAAGTCGGGGTTTTTTAAAATAAAAATTAAAAAAAATCCTGAGCGGGGCCTTTTTTGTGGGCGGGCGGGGACGCTAACCAACTATTTTTTTTTATGTGGCCTAATGCGATGTATAATATATCGAGCTGCAATCGGGTTAAAAATAACCGACTATAAATCATGATTTTAAAATTTTGATTTTTTAATCTCTAGTGTATATTGTTTATAGTTATGAGTTATTAGCTAATATAAGTCATTACACTGTCACTGAACACTAATTATAGTTTCTTTTCTAATTGATTATAAGCTAACTTACTATATACCTCAAATTAATCAAGTTCTATTCTAAAATGCGTATCAGTAAATTTCCATACTGACTAGTAGGTTGTCCTCTTTCACACTGCTATATCGTTACTGTCCTTGATTTGGGCAAGAAACTCTACACACATAATATCAGTTTTTGACCCGCTCGAAGGTTTAACTTCAAACTGCGCCAGCAAGTCAGTGGCCGGCGCAAATGATGGCACTGCCAATTCAATAGTCAAAACTTCACTTGCTCCAGATGCGATAGGGCAGGTGAGATTGTGATCCGAGCACAGATCCGACTTGGTAAACGGGAACGGTAATGTCGCACTGCCAATGATTGCGTGTAGAACAATAACACCTTTTGGAACTTCAGCTTTTGTAGTAAAACTGATTCTGCCGTGGTATGTTTTGCCTTTCAAGAAACTACAAGGTTCTGGTATGCCTTCATCGCAATCGAAATTTAACTGTTTCACAGTAGTCGACTTCGATCCGCAGTCATTAAATGGTACGACGACGGAACTCTCGTAGATTTTAATGAGAGAAATGAGGAATATCAAAGCCAGACACAAACGGAACATCTTTGGTATGGATATTTTGTCTGTATTTTCGTCCAATACACTAACGATGAAACTATATATCTTACCGTCTGTTGCCTATTGAGAAATGACCTTGAAACAATTGATTTTTCAATGACGTTTTCCTTCGATCACGCCACTCGTGACGTATGTAAATATATTTTGCACATGATGACAGATGGCTCGATATATTAAAATACTAGAAGTTACTATCGCAAGGAAAGTGCTGCCTCACACGCAAGGGACCAAAGGCTGCATGTGCAATTTGCTGAATAGGGGGCTGTTTTATATATGATCCCGCTTTGCCATAAAGAGATGTGAGGCGGGGTTATTTTGATGTATTGAAACAAGTCACAGTGCACAATTCAGCAAAAGAACTTCATTATTTTCTGGAGATAGATTTAGTAAACTGTAAATGAAATGTAATAACAATCTTCTGGAACTACAAGATCTTCTCTACAATATTTGAATTCTCTTAACAAGCATTTTAACTTTTGTTTAGCCTACCGACTTATTTCAATACATCAAAATCATGACATCCCATCTTCCATCATGTTCCCTATTCCCTAAAGCTGGTTTTCCACTAGGCGGAATTTTGCGCGCGGAGCGGAATTTTTCTTTGTCTTTTCTAATTAGTTCCACCCGAGAAATCACAAGACAAAGAAAAATTCCGTTCCGCGCGCAAAATTCCGCCTAGTGGAAAACGGCCTTAAGACACCTGTTCAGTAGGTAGGAAAAGTGCAATTTGAATATCAAACACCTTGCACAAGGTCAAAGGTCAGCTAAATATTCAATGCTTATAACTTCTTGCTTTTGTATGTATAATTATAATACTGTCAGTGGTGAATCTAGCCATTGCAACCATAAGCATATGGGCCGGGGGGCACAGACCCCCCCCCCCAAATTTTCACGGTCAGGCAGAAATCCATGCGTCATTCGGGCAAAACTTTAAAATTTCACAAAATAATGTTATGCAAACCAAAAAATTATGTTATGTCCGGAAAAATTTGTGCATTTGGTGACCTCCCCTCGCCAACAATTTTGGGGATCTCGAAATGTTAATTAGCGACGGTCGGGCAAACTAATACTGCGCCCCCCCCCCCGAAACACGATTAGGCCCGTACTCCCATGATTGCAACAGGCCATGCAATGCAAGTTTCTAATAATTTGCACTGGTCAAATAGGTGCAGGTTTATTGGCGTAGCATGACCAGTTGCCATGGCTAGCTTGCCACTGAATATTAGATAAAATCATATTATATATAAACGATAACAATACTTGAATGAATCATTGGACATGTAGAGTTTAATAACAATTTCATATACATAGACTGAATATTAAGTCAGTTTCTGTCCCAGTTATCATTTTAATGGCACCTTCAAGGCTACCCATGTTGCAAAGCCACTGTCACTGAACAATTTACTGACACCTGACGGGGAGACAAAATCTATTTGTTGAAAGTTTTGTTTCATACGTGATACATCCGCTTCTGCATGGCAACACCATTCATTTGTAATGATTAAGATTGTACTCAGTCAGAACTGCAGAACTATATAATACAAGAAATTGTGAGCATTAATTATCAAAAAATATAGTATACCCTGAACTGTAGTAACACAGCCAGGTGAATATATAAAAATGTAGGCCGGTAGAATTATTTCATATTATGCTATTAACAATGGACATATCTCAGAGATATATTCTTACAGACCGTTATACCTTTTACAAAAATCGGTTGACATGTTATTACATGTAACTGCTGGTATAAAGTTTCCACACTGGGTTGCTATATAGGAATATCTTCGTACAAGTGAGTTACTGTAATTTTTCATTCGTATACAATTGTATGTTCCAATGCGGGCAAGATACTGCTCAATTTATATTCCCATAATAACAATACTAATAATAAACTATCACTGTCATTTAATATTTATACCTTGAAGTATGATGTTCTATAAATGTTCTATCAAGTCTATGAATGCTACAATCGACGAGCTACACACCTTGTTTATATGAAGACTTGTAGTCAATTCATTCGTTTCAAGTTTCAACGCGTATCGACCAAAACTCATTGTTATTTGTGATCAAACTTTTATCTTACCTTGAATTCCTTCAAAAATATTTCGACAAACAACCATGAGAGTCCAGACAAAAAATTTGCGACACAATGCGTACATGTAAACATGTTTACAAATTGTCATGATCCATTGTGGTGTTCGCGAGGTTCAACCAGGGTATTCGGAAAGTCAAATCGCGATCTGGAGTATGTTATTTTTTACATTAAAATTTCTGTGACGTCAAAATACCTGACTCTTCCACAGTCCCTCGTTATATTTTAGTACGGGAGAATATGCCCGTTCGCGGGTTAGGCGTTGACAGCACACGTCGGAAATGCGAGGGACTGTGGAATCGTGTGTCGAAAAGTTGGCAGAATAGTCGAAAACTCGGCAATCGGGCAAAATTGACATTTTTCTCAAATATGAATGAATTTTTGGACGAAAGCGGGACGATGCAGGCTTTAGAAAACTCTTGGATGGATTTAGTGTGACCCTAACCCCGAATTAGATGTCTAAATGGAAAATTTATCTCTTTCTGACGTAAATTACGGTGAGTGCTGATAGCTTGTTTATAATATGAAAGCCTCGATGAAAGCCATATGTTGGCGGATGTGCCATGGATTATATCCTTATGTGTATCTTAAAAATATGAATAATTAGCGACTAGGTATATGATAATTGTAGTTGATCAAGTAGTAATTTTGCACACACTTTTTTAGATATAGATGACATAAAAAATTTGCTTTCAAACTTGGAAGTCTCTGTTTTGGTCCTCAATGAAATATGGGAAACTATCCTATCCACATATAAATATGCCTGTGGCGATATATCTGGTATTAAAGCTAGCTGAGTATATACATCGTAATTGGTAACTTGATGGCTGTTGCTTTCGTGTATTAATGGCTGGGTGTCTTGTTCAACTGGTACACTTTGGAAGTACTACATGTTTATAGAAAAATAAAATTATATTTAATAAATATTTATTCAGTTTCTAACACATAAATAAAATATAATACAATGGTAGGTTAAAAAAATGCTGTATATATTGTTGCAAACTAAATAAATCAATCTATTATAGAGCTACACCAGATTCTTGCTGTTAAATGTTATACTTTCTTTAATTATGTCATTGGCATTAATTGCAACAAATACCAACAATGCAAAAACAAGATACAAATTGTGCATTGACCAGTATTTAAACAGTGTACTGCATTGACTAATAAAAAAAGTTATTTGATAAACTTATCTGGTAGTAGTTTACTCTGTCTAACATAGTTCGGAAAGGGTCTGTATTATATCTCCTATTTTATAAATATTCCCCCTATTACAGACTGCTAATAACCTCTTTCAGAGAGCAAAATTTGACATTTGGACTTGTAGTTTAATTAATTAAAAACCACTTGTTCTGTAATTTCTACGATGGTTTTCTTATCACGCCCCTCTTTAATTAACACATCCTCTTTTAGTAACCTCCCCCCCCTCCCCATAACAAAACATAACATTTTTTCATGGTTTATCCTCTTGAAGCAAGGAGGTTTTAAACTATGTCTAATCAAGGATGGATCCAGCATGATCT